AGAAGAGAGAAGAGAGAAGAAGAGAGAAGAGAGAAGAAGAGAGAAGAGAGAAGAAGAGAGAAGAGAGAAGAGAGAAGAGAGAAGAGAGAAGAGAGAAGAGAGAAGGGAGAAGAGAGAAGAGAGAAGAGAGAAGAGAGAAGAGAGAAGAGAGAAGAGAGAAGAGAGAAGAGAAAGGATGAGATGTTTCCTTGCGTGTTCATGTTTTTACTTCCCAGGATCAGAGCTGAACAGATCTAGAGGAGAGGAGAGGGAGTTTCTTCTTTTCCGCTTATTTATCCGTTGTTTCTCAAGAAAACAGAGAGAGATGCACTCTTGTCCAGTACGGTGCCTTCCTCTCTGGTTGACTGAGAAAAGACAAGATCAAGGACATCAAAGGGACAGGGAAACCAATCTATCCCTAAAAAAGGAACAGAAGACATAGGATCGCAGGCAAATGAGAGCGAACACGGGAAATCAACCCTGCTCCAGGGAAGAGGGAGCCTCCTTCTGCAACGGACAAAACAAAGCTTTCTTCCCTTTCTCTTAGCACTCTTGTCAGTTCCATGCACTTTTCTTTCTCTTGTCTGTTCCTGGCCCCTTCTTCTTGTATAAAAGTTCTTCTGCCCTGCAAGAAAACAGCCAGAGCGGAGAATCGGAGAGGAGGGGGAGTCTCTTCCCAGTCTTATGTACCCAGTCTTCTCAATAAGAAAAGAGAGAGAGGAGCACTCTTGTCCAGCTTCCCTCCTACTGTGTCTTCCTCTCTCGCTGACTGAGAAAAGACAAGATCAAGGACAGCGCAGGGGTTTTTTCGTTTATCTATCCCTTTGAATCTCCTCAAAAAAAGGAACAGAAGACATAGGAGCGCAGGAGAGAAAGAAGGCAAACGGGAGCGAACACGGGAAATCAACCCTGCTCCACGGGGAGAGGGAGCCCCCTTTCTGCAATGGACAAAACAAAGCTTCTTGTTTTCACTCTCTTTCCCTCGGTTTTTGTCAAAAAGAGAAGAGAGAAGCACTCTTGTCAGCTCCTTGCACTTTCTCTCTGGTGTCTGTTCCTGGTTCCTCTTCTTATATAAAAGTTCTTCTCCTCTGCAAGATAAGAGCCAAAGCAGAGATTCAGACAGGAGGGGAGTCTCTTCTCAGTCTTATGTGCCCAGTCATCTCAATAAAGAGAGAGAAGCATTCTTGCCCATGCGTTGTTGTTTCCCTTCTACTGTCCATTCCTCTCTCGCAGAGTGCAGACTGAGAAAAGACAAGATTAATTTAGGACAGCCAAAGTGGGGACAGGGAAACCTTATTTGTCCTCTTTAGTAGCTTAGCACTTCCCTTGAATACCTACAATCGACAAAATTAGAGACATAGGAACAAGGGACAGAAAGAAAACAAAAGAGATGGTATAAGGGAACTCAGCCGCTGCAGGGGAGGAGGTCCCTTCTTGCAACGAACGTGGCGATTTTGCGAAAGGCTGAAAGTTAATGGTCTACCTGCTTTAGTCGGGGCCCCTCTACTAAGTCATTTTGGCTGGGCTATTCAAGTGGCTGGCCTGCAACCCAACCATTTGGTCTCTGACACTGCTCCTGCCTGTCCGAAACGTGTTGCCTTGCCTTTTGCTTGCGGCCTCTTTGCTGCCGTTGCATTTCGACCCACAGTGTGCCATTGTGCGAAGCTGCACGCCCGCTCTCCCATCAGAAATCGCGCGAGTCGCATAGATGAGCTTGAAAAGAAAACCCTAGACACTTCACCGTAAACCCTACACGTGAAACCCTAAATGCTCCACAAGGGGCGGGTCCCTATAGGGTTTCAGGTTTGTAGTCCCCACACCTTGAAGCCTTATAGGGTTTATTGTTCAACCATGAACCCCAGACCTTTCAGATTCACCGTGTATTTAACAACAAGAATGTTTCACAGTAATTTTCATTCGAGCACCTGGGTATATCGTTGTTATTCCGTTTTGCGGGGCGTTCGCGTGCACGGGGCATGAACGGGCATGAACTCGCATGCACGGGCATGAATTCAAAAAATGAAGTATCTGCTCACAGTATTCTCGTGATACCATGTCCGAATGTTTCATAATCTTTTTAAAAAACAACCTATCCCAAGAATAGGTTCCCACGGCGTCCTCTCCCCTAGAGCTTAGGGGTAGGTCTTTGGGGTTCAGTGCGAAAGAAACACACGGTGTAGTCTCTCTGTTTCGCCTCTAGGGAGGTAGGTAGGCTCTTGTTTTATTATATTTCTTGTTTTTCGGGCTTAGGGTTTAGGGTTAGGGTTTAGTGTTGGGGTTTTGAAGCAGTCTTCAGAGGAGCGTGATGGCCCTATTCGATAACTCTGTTAATCGTAGCAGTAGTATAGGCTAGTATGAAACAAAGAAAGAGGTCAAATCATACATAAAGGTTCCTGCCTCATATATATATATATATATACATATATATATATATATGTATATATATGAAAACAGAGACATGTGACATATACACATACACATACACATACACATACACATACACATACACATACACATACACATACACATACATATAGTATATGTACATATACATATACCTGTACATATACAGAAACAAATACATATACATATACATATACATATACATGTACATAGACATGTACATATACATATACTCATTGACGTTAAACTGAAATAAATAAGCTGGCTGAAAACCCAGAACAATAACAACAAACAAAAAAAATGGTTGGACTGCCCGCAGGCCCGAAAAATGAAAACAAACGGAAACTTTCCTGCGGGCCCGGAAACTGCATCTTCGACTCCACAGCAAAGACGGCCCATTTGTCAAGCACTATTCAGTCATTTTGCCCGCAACCCGCTTTATTTTCTCAGTGAAATGCAAATATACCGAGTTGCCTTTCTGCAAAAGGTAAAACCTGAATGGTGGCTGGCGACCGAATGGACTGTCATTGCTGCGGAGCTGGACCATTCTGTGCATGCTTTCTTGCTTTGGGCTTTGGGATTTCCAAGAACATTCAGTCTTGTAAAGGAATTACATTACATAAGCTTATCACTACGAAGCCTGAATCCGTCCTGCCAGTCGGACGCCATGACCAGCAGACGTTCTCCTTCCTGCAGCGCTTCATGAAGCCACAAAAGGCATTCACACAGCACATGCGACAGCCAATAGCTAGCCGAGCACCCGGCCAGCAGCAGCCGATCATCTGGTGGGGCAAGCTCGATGCGCGTTCCAAAAGCACCCTGCACCTTCTGTTTGGCCTCACAGCTTTCCATAGATATATACAGGCCTAGCAGTTTGTATGTGGCCGTCTGCAGGGGCTTGCGGGGGCCTGGACACCAATGCAGACGGCCTTGTCAAAGGCAGCACAGGCCTCTTTAAAGGTTTGCCAGCCATCCTGCCGGTCCACGACCTCTGAGCTGATCTGCTCTCCGACCAGTCTGACCATCTCAAATTTGAAGCACTTGCAGGGTCGACTGAGAATCAGCCAAGGCTCGTAGAGCTCATCACCAGCTGTGAAGGAGCAAAGATCCGCAAAACACGTCCCTGCATGGGACTGCCGGGCGAGAACTCCCCAGAAAAGCCACATTGACAGCTACCAGCTGCACTGCCCCACCTATAACATGATTTGTGGCAAGTAGACTTAGCACGTGGTTGGAGGCCGCGCGGGCATGTATGACCTGCACAACAGCGACAGTGACTGAACGCAGTCTTCAAGCCTTCAAGCAATTGTGGTGAGCTGGCTAAGAGTATGTTGTGAACTTATGGTTTGAGTATTAGAGTGGAAGTAGCCGATGATGGCCAGGAATAGCCCAACTGAAGTCCAGCTGATTCATGAGACAATAGTAAAAAGAAGCAATGATTCATCCAACCCATCGTGCGATTAAATGGAAAATAAACATTGCAGTGTTACCAAAAACTTTCACCGCTTTTACGAGAAGCTCGATTCTGCCCTTAGAGGGCGTTACCGACATCATCGTCTGTGGTTTGCTGCGCTGAATCCGTTCGCTTTGTGAGTCACTTGAAACTAAAGATAAAGAGGGCGTCATTTGTGCTAAAGTCTTTTGCTTGAATAATCGGCGAACGAGGTGAATGCGAAACCTTGACTTGCAAAAACTACAAATCAAATTTGCTTCATTGGTTCGATGCTTGAGTGATTTTCAAAACACGTCAGCTTATGAGGCTATCTTTGCACGTCAACAGCAAGGAAGCCAAGCACATGAAAACAGTAAACCAAAGGACGACCTGCGTTTCAAAGGATTTCGAACTGGCTAGTGAGGACTCCGAACCTCTGTTTCCTAGCTCAATAACACACGGAGTGTCTACATCAATTTTGGAAATGAAGCAAAAAACAGGCGTTCACAGGATTGGTTCTTTGGTAGCTCTCAGAGTGTCTTGATGGAGATGCGAGAACACCAATCATTTACAAGTTTGAATGGAACAGCCCCTTGATGATGGGCGGTGGAATGAAATTTGCTGCAGACTCCGCTCTCCTGGCTCATAAGGTCGATAGGATGACACTGATGACACTACAGTTTCCATGACGAGCTTCTGGTGTGTGAGTCGTGAGGATGGTACACAGGCCCTTTGATGGGGTGACTGTGAATTTCATGCCCATCTGCTCGCTCGCTTAGAATTATGTTACAAACTTGGGCATGACTTGTAGTAACTTCTCGAGCTCATGAACAAGAAGAAACTACACCACGAGACAGGCAGATTCACGAGCCAGGCTGCAGTCCTCTGTTTGAAAAGGACATGACCGCGACTGCTATGGCCGCCACATTGCCATTTAACAGCACCGACAAAAAACTGCACACACGAGCGGACGTGAGCAGGTGAATTCCTGAGTGCAAACACTCAAAAGACAAAGCTCAGTAACAAATGCAGGCTCCTGGACTTCAGGACGTTACGGGGCAAATTGGTGTGATTATGTCAAAGGATGGGCACTGAATCGGGGCGGCTACGTAGTTCTGAATCGTGGCTCGTTCAATGTCAACGGCAGCTAGTGAAACTGAGACCCTGAGCATGAAAAGCACCACTTCAGTAGGTCACAAGGCATCAAATCAAAGGCCTCAGTACGAGCGTGCAATCGCCGGAGAACTTTAGCCACCTCCTGTACTTGCACCTGTTCCCCACGCTTCAACACACACACACACACACCTGACTTGACGGTGGAAGCCGCTGATTTCGCGAGAACAAATGGCCTCTGAAAAGATTTGGCATGTAACAGGCTGCCGCAGCGAAGACAATGCCACCACAATTCGGATCTCGGTGTGTTTCGGTGCGTTCAGGCAATGCTGAGAACAAACAAGAGCCGAAAAAAATGAAGCCCACCGTCTCGAGATCTGCAAAGTTCGGGTCCCCGTGGTGAGAAAGTATAATAATTTCCTGCAGGCAATGTTTCATGTTTTCAAAGTCAAAAAGGCGGATCAGATGCCCACGTCCTGTGCACGACTGGCTCCGGCTCGGTCCAACGAATCCGTGTCGTGCGCGATGCCCTGCCGAATCTTCAGGGAGCTCAGCATGCGCCAGCGCCTGCACTGCAAAACAAGACAAAGCCAGATCAGAGCCGACAAAAACAAAAAAAAGGCTGTAGTGACTCTAAAAGAAAATACAACATAATACAACAAGACAGATTTTGGAGAAGGTTCTGCTCAAAGCGGGCCACGGTCCCGGTCCTGCGGTTTCTGCGCTGAACGCTGAACGGAGAAGACCGGGGAGACTCCCTGCTAGGAAGCAGATGAAAGCAGCACAGAAGGCGAAGTGCAGAGCACAAGCAACGGAGCAAGGCAATCACAACGACGCAGAGCAACACGACCACGAGCACAAAACTGCAGCTGGGGTAAAACACGTGACAGAAAAGCCCGCTGCGAAAGGCGACGCATGCACCCTTGTGGGACTATGCATTTCCCCGTCCTCATGCCCAACGACTGTTTCGTAAGTTTGTAGCACGGCAAGCTTCAAGTAGTTTCAAAAGTGGTGGTATCTGTCTTCGGCCTGTTTGTTTTATAGGAGGGAGTGGAGCTTTGTTTCTGGTGAGCGGCGGGGGACAACCAGCGAACCCTCAGCCCTTACGTTCCATCCAATGAGACCCAATAACACACTGTAGAACCCAACAAAACAGCGAAACCCTAACAAACTAGACGCCCTGAATCCCGAACCCGAACCCCTGGTCTGTAAGGCTACTTAGCCACTTAGCAACAAATAATCACAGCCAAGGCAGCAACATCAGCAAGACCAGAAATCTGAACCTTCTTTGGCACCACCACGAAAAATATTCCGAGATGCCTGTCGAAAAAGCTCATGTGCTCCCAGAGCTGGAGAAAGTACTGCTGTATATCCTGGTGCATCTCGGCTTGGTCTCGGTCAGCCTTAGACGCGTTAAAGGTTCAGGGTTGCTGCAACGGCCAGGTCAGCGCAGAAGTAGATGCAATATGATGCAATGGCTAGGTCAAAAGGAAGAGGGGCCTAGGGGCCAGTACAACAACAGGATATCGCTGCCCACTCGCGTGGAAAGCTTCAAAGAGCTCATTGAGGAGGTAAAGCGTCTTCTCGCTCCATCCGAGAACCAAGACATGCCGTCCAAACCACACTCGGCTCCGGGTTCTGGTCCAAGTATCCATGGAAGACCGAATCCATTCTACCTTAGAAGCTTTCATCCTTCCGAAGATTCTGAGGTTAAGGCAAGTGCCTGCTCTGCCAAATGCATAACTACTCAGGTTTGTCTGGGGGTGCCACAATGATGCCAAGGAAAGTCCTCGTCCAAGTCTACTCGCGCAAATTTGCACTGCTTGGATGCAACCATCCATGCTCAACCGACGTGCCGCCAAGCTTCAGGTTGTATAGAAAACCGAGCACCGAAAATATTAGTGCAGCCAGTTTGACTTTGATCGGCGCGTCGGCTGCTACTCCTCGAAGGGCAGATTGACACATTCAACTACGACGCATCCACGTTACACGAAATTCAGGCGTGCTGGTCCTGTCTGTGTACCGGGATCGAAGAACAACCCCCAAGACATCCACATGCTTTCTTCCCAGGATGACCCAGCATTTGGATCCCCACCCACAGATGACCAAACTGCCTCGGCATTGCGGTGCTCACTTCGAAAAAGAGGGCTCCAGTCTCATAAAGCCAAGTCGCTGTGCCTGAAAGAATCAACACAACGGCACCCACCTGGGCTGGACAAGACACTTGTAACCATGCGCAGACCTTCAGACCAACTGCCACGGCTGAATTTTTAGGAGCTGGCAACAAGAGAAACAAGCTGACCATTGGGATCACCTTGCAGCCAGTCTCGCCTCAAAAGCATAACAACGTTGGGAGCCACCTCATACCCATCACATAACGCTAATGACTACTTGTGGCTTTGACGGGTTCAACCCTTTTTGGCCATCGTCGCACTGTTGCGCCGCTGTCAAGAAACGCTACTACAAAGCATTCTTTACATCTTGTTGTTCAATAAGGAAGCGACCATCTTCGGAAGGCAAACCACGTTTCCAGCGCTTCTGCACATCATGATCACGTATACAAGCCTGTAGCTTTTGAAACATGCGCCTTCCTCTACAAATGCCTCGGCAGCAAGAGCAACACGTTCTCCTGCCAGTCCAGAATGTTCGTGTCTGGCCTTAGGCTCTGCAAGCTTCCGGTGAGAGCACCCCACACCCAAAGAAGTTTCAAAATAAACAGAACAAAACCGCAGACCTCAGGCAAAGCACCTTCTCGGAGGCGTTCCTTGTCCCTTTGGACGGCATCTCCCCAGGCCTGGGCCATCACCTGTCGTGACCGTGTCAAGACCATCGTCACCCACCACAAAGTGCTCCCACAAACCATACGGCATGCCTTTGAGTTGTGCCAGTAGATTGCCAGGCCGTCCACGACATTCGGCTCATCCTTTTCCTCTTTGTCAAGCCGCGCAGCCCACGCAAGGCTTGCAAGGCCGAACAAGCGAAAAGGTGGCTTTAGTGGACCAACTCGGCTGATTGGGAGTAAACAGCAGCGGCATGGCCCAAAGAGCAAAGCAGGTCTCCGACAAGCGCCCCGTGTGCAAAAATGTGCGGGGATCTCGGAAAATCTCGAGGCCCAAAAAACATTGAAAGAACTCCAAACAAACAAAAACTTTCGAGGAGCCTCTGTGGGGGTTCCTCTCTCCAAACAACTCTCTCGCCAAAGAGCACAGAGAGAGTCAGGGATGCGCTTGTTTTTGCACACTTCGCTTCTGCCCGACGACCTAGTAGGAATGAATGTTCGAAAACCAAGTTTCCACTCTGTGACAACAAGCCGCTACCCCTGTGGGATATGGAAAGTGCAGATCCACGTCCAGGAGTGTCTAGGTTAACCACGCGCAGCCCTAAATCATTATCCCTAAACTACCGTGAGCCCTAAGTGCTCTAAACGCCGTGTGGGCCTGTACAAGTCTGCGAAAGCTCGAACCACCGAATCTGGTTCGGCCTGGCTTGTAGCGGTAGGGCTCCTTCCTTCTTGCATAAACATGTAACATGAAAATATTATAAAAATAGATGTTATCTACACTTTTACACTTATACCTATTGCGCGTGTATCATTTGTGAAGACATGTGTGGTACAGACTTTCTTCACACCAAGACGGCACTGACGGCGTTTTCCTTCACACGCAGCCAGCTCGTCTCTGATACGTCTGCCTTTCTGCGTCGGGGACCCGGCACTTTCATGCAGGCTCCAGAGTCCGGGTCCAGGCCAGGGGTTCCCAACCATAGCCCAGCCAGAATAAGGCCCCGCCTGCAGTGCAAGCGCCCGCTTGCCAAAGGGTCAGGCCCTTGGGTCCCACCTTGATCATGGACTGCGTGGCAATTGCGGAGAGACGGCTTGGAAGAATGCTTTGCGCTACGATCTCGAATGATGCAGCCATGCCGGCACAGTCTCCAAAGGTTCAAAGAACAGGACATTTGTGGCCACCAAAGCCATCATATAAAAAAACACAGCAATAGAATCCAATTTACCTCTGCTCTCGAACCATGGCACAACCTCGCAACTCCCGCACTTTCCCTGGACGAGAACTTCAGCGGCCTGACCAAGAGCTGTGCGCGAGAAAGTGCAAACCTTTAACACGAGCACAAGCTCTTGGCACATGAAACTTGAAGAACGAACCTAAAACATTACGAGGGAGGCCATCACCCGCATGTGGGTGCCCTGGATCGAACTGATACTAAGAGGATAACCTCTGCACCAGTCGGGCCCTGGCACAATCGCACCAACCGCAACTCTGGACACCAGAATGACACCAACCGCAATTCTGGATACGAATGAAGTGCAATTCTGCAACCTGACCCCCTAACCGGAATTGGTATTCGACCCTTTATTGGCAGCTAAAGATTTAATCCAAGCACAATTGCCTTTAATCTTGAAAGTCTTTTGCTTGCAGTAATGGTGCCTTCTGCAGCAAATCAGATTGCCGGTAAGAAGGCAAAGTGGATGTCATGTATGCAGACTTGCGTGCAGGCGTGTAAATTCTAAAGGCTAAGGCTAAGCGCAGCTTTTGCCAAGGCCGCCAACAAAGGTCGCCCTCACATTCAAACCGCAGCAGAAAGCTGCAAAATGCTGCAGCACTGGCCGGTTTTTGGTGGTCTGCCACTTACAAAGGAAGCCCTGTGGTCTGCACGGTGTAGCGCTCTGACAAAGGGCTTGGAGTTTGCCGGTTTGTGCTGCAAGCCAGAAATGGAAAGTTATTATGCAAAACAAAAGCAGCAGAAACTATTGATGGGCCAGGGCTTGGTATGATCAAGCACCAAGCTTCAAGCTAACCGGCCTTCTGAAGGCAGGCTAACAGGGCATGCGGACAAGTTCACGCGCTTCTACAAACCATTCTGCCAAGCTCTGCCTTCAAGGCACAGCATGCATTTCACAAATGGCAAGGCAACCACGGAGGCATAATTCTTCTTATCTTTGTCTTTACTAAAGCTCATTGCGCTCTTGAAAGACTAAGAAAGTAATTCGCAGGTTTCTTGGCACTAAGATTGCAACTTAAATTTAAAACTTGCACCCGAAGCCCGTGCTGCAAGTTCCAGCTGGCTCCATGCGTTTTTTAAACACACCACAAGCCGATTTGTGCCCACATGTGCCTGCAAAGCAGAGCGGACATGCCGCAAATGGACGAGCTATAACACAGCTTAAGCAAGTAAGTTCGGAAGCAGGTTTTTTACCCCGCCTCCCTTTCCCTCTAGATAAACTGTGCTTGCTTTGAAGCAAGCAATTCCTGCAGACGCTGCTAATGGTCAACAGATGTGTTTGCAAAACGCCTCTTGCAAACAAATTTGTTTTTTCCGTGTTTTGGGCCTTCTGGACAGATTGACACCCTCCAGCAATAGCAGCCCAAAAAAAATTTTTTTTCTAAACCCTGCCCCCTTTTTCTTTGCAATTATATGCTCTTTACATTGGGGACCAAAACTGAAGAATCGACAGGGTTGAGAAACCTAGAACGCAATGATTATCGGCCTTTGCCAAAAAGATTCACGACTGGCTTCTCTTGCTTACAATCCGCATGCTAAACACACACTTGTCTGCCACCAGATTCCGCCCTCAAGAAATTTTCCATTTGCACCGCGGGCCTAAGAGGCTGACAAAAGCCAAAAAAGGGTCCAATTTTGCCTATTAGTCGGGTTTCCAGACTTAAAATTCAAATCGGGTAAAGAAATCTGGCATTGGCGGGGAACCGTGTTGAACAGGAAAATTTAAATTGCATCTAGAAAAATAAGTTTAAGCGCATGAGCGGTAAGATCTTAATTAAAGGCGTGGGTGATGAACCCCTGCCTGGAACGAACCCCTGGCGGGAACAAACCCCTGAATGGAACAAACCCCGGGCTGGAACTTGCTCCGGGGTGGAACAAACCCCAAAAAAAATGTGCCTCCCCTGGCTGGAAGCAGCCCCTGGCTGGAAACAGTCCCTGGCTGGAAAACGGCCCTGGGCTGGAAACAGCCCCTGGCTGGAAACAGCCCCTGGCTGGAAACAGCCCCTGGCTGGAAACAGCCCCTGGCTGGAAACAGCCCCTTAAGCCCCCTAAGCCCCCTGAGCCCCAAGCCCTAAGCCCTAAGCCCTAAGGCCTATGCCCTAAGCCGTAAGCCCTAAGCCCTAAGCCCCAAGCCCCAAGCCCCAAGCCTCCGGCCCTCCAAACACCCTCCAAATCCCACACACAACCAACCCGAAACCCCCAAGAAACCCAAAAGAAAGGAAATTGCGTGCTGAAGGCTCCATCCTTCCCCCTCAAACTGGAGAAACCCAAACCTCATATGAAAAAAAATTCGCAAAACAACCTCGCAAAATGTCTCGACTCCAAATACCCTCCAAATCCCACACACAACCAACCCGAAACCCCCAAGAAACCCAAAAGAAAGGAAATTGCGTGCTGAAGGCTCCATCCTAAACCTTCAAACTGGAGAAACCCAAACCTCATATGAAAAAAAATTCGCAAAACAACCTCGCAAAATGTCTCGACTCCAAATACCCTCCAAATCCCACACACAACCAACCCGAAAACCCCCAAGAAACCCAAAAGAAAGGAAATTGCGTGCTGAAGGCTCCATCCGAAACCCTCAAACTGGAGAAACCCAAACCTCATATGAAAAAAATTCGCAAAACAACCTCGCAAAATGTCTCGACTCCAAATACCCTCCAAATCCCACACACAACCAACCCGAAACCCCCAAGAAACCCAAAAGAAAGGAAATTGCGTGCTGAAGGCTCCATCCTAAACCCTCAAACTGGAGAAACCCAAACCTCATATGAAAAAAAATTCGCAAAACAACCCCCCAAAATGTCTCGACTCCAAATACCCTCCAAATCCCACACACAACCAACCCGAAACCCCCAAGAAACCCAAAAGAAAGGAAATTGCGTGCTGAAGGCTCCATCCTAAACCCTCAAACTGGAGAAACCCAAACCTCATATGAAAAAAAATTCGCAAAACAACCTCCCAAAATGTCTCGACTCCAAATACCCTCCAAATCCCAGTACGCTTTGCAAAGACCACCTTGCAGTTCTTGCCCACAAAACGGCTTTGCGTCTAAATGTGTAAGAGTTGCGCGGTTTCACACACAACCAACCCGAAACCCCCAAGAAACCCAAAAGAAAGGAAATTGCGTGCTGAAAGCTCCATCCTAAACCCTCAAACTGGAGAAACCCAAACCTCATATGAAAAAAATTCGCAAAACAACCTTCCAAAATGTCTCGACTCCAAATACCCTCCATCCCACACACAACCCGGATTTCTACATTACTGCTGCTGTCCTTACTTGGCCATGGGGATCGTAGCTCAAGTAACACACCAGGACGGGCTGCAGGTTTGTGCACGGCTGGCACAGGCACTGCGTAAGGTACAGACACTGCGTGAGGTGGTTCAATCGGTGCACAGCAGCTCCACCATCTGGAGGTTGGACAGCCTCTTCAGGCAGGCTGTTATTAGTTGGAATGTTACCTTGCTGTGTACCTTTAACACTATTGGCCTTGCCAAGCACACAATTGGTGCATTGGCTTACCAAACGTCTGTGCTGGTTGGCGCCGGCACAGAGGCAACTGTCACCCGCAAGGGTGGAAGCGGCTGTGCGCCGCAAAATGCTTTCAAACTGTTCTTGCATTGCTTCAGGCACCACACTATCTGAGCAAAGACTCTGGCATCTATGTGCTGTGGGTGCGCATTCTGCCAATTCCGAACATGGCAGAGAAGGTCCGAAAACAAATTAATGTCCAAAGCTCTGCAGCGTTGAAACTACAAGTACTCAGCCAACAGGCGTACGTGTTTCTCCCAACCTTTTTTACGCCTTTCTGTCTGAGCCAACTTTTGAGGCAACCAAACAAGCCCTCTGCGTTGCTTGTAACAACATGTTGCACACCAAGATCTCTTCAGCGCGCAAGAACTTCTTTTGACTGTTAATTAACACATCTGTGCACATATCTCTTTCTTGGCCAGCCAGCGGTATCCACTGTAAGAGTCTGTGAAAACCAGAGAGCCGGGCAAGACATGATTCCGCACCTGT